GTATCTATTAGAAGAGAGTGAGTTATGGATGTCACTCTATATAAATTTTTTCAATGTTCTATCTCTAATTAATATGGAATTTGAAATCTTTCCAATACACCCGCTCACATCCATCATATTTTTAGGCTTAGTGTGTGGATATAATCGATGGACGGCCCATGGTTCGATCGATAGGCTCTGATATAATAGAATTTGACTTAATTCATCTTTACAATATTAATTTGTAAAGTGACCGGTATCACTCTATATAATTTCTTTCAATACTCTATCTTCAACTAATAGAATCTTTTCAATAATATCCATCATCAACCTCATATGAAGTAATTAATGGACGCCCTATGATATCATGAGGTGTTAAACCATCTAACACTCATGAGTCGATCAACCTTCGTAATCCCTTGCTTATATTTTCAACTCATAGCTCGAGCAAGTCTAACATTGTCACTTAAAATTTGTCTCTCTACTCACTTACCAGTTAACTTGACCAAAACCTCCACTCATAAAATCTCTCCTGTTATTTGTTGAGTTCTTATGTTTGAGTTTGGCAGCTTTGGTTTTCGGTGCAGGCGCGCACCAGTTCAACATACTTATTTTCTCTTCTTACAATAGTGTTTGTCTGATTTCTACATGGTGATATGTGTGGAGCATGTATATTTATTAATATATACTAGAGACTACATTATGTCTATCATCATGTATTTGTCAAATCTACCTGTTATAAAACGTGCAAGTACATATAAAACACTACAATCATAGAGTGTATGTTAAAAGGTTTAGATTTTATTCTCAATTAAAATATTAGATAATGTAGATTAATGGAAGAATTATCTACTACATTTGTAAAGAGGAAAAGCAAAAGCCTATCTAACAACCTTTCAATTCATAAGAGAAGAAAGCTTTAAATTAAATTTTTAATGATGAGTTTCTACTTATCATACTTACAATCTAAATTTGATAGATAAAGATACAGTATAGATTCAAAGAGCATAGAATAAAAAATAAATGAACAAACAAATGACTATCCGAAGGGTAGAAGGTCAATTCAAGAATTTCAAGTGGAAGGGTCAATTCCATTATATCAATGAAACTTTTTTAAGGTATGCATAAGCCATTGAGTTGATATAGGATAATAACTTATATAACTTTATAGGCAACACTAGTTTATATTATATTGACATATCAACAATAAATATAATCAAAGAGTCAAAGAAAGTTTCACAAATTATTGGATCTTCTTTCTTATATTAGTTTCTAAAGTTAGGTGTGGTGAAAGAAATATGTTAATTGGATGACTAAAAACTTTATTAGTAGTGGATGAGTTTTATTAGCTTAAAATGGCCTTTCAAAGCAAAATCGTTCCTACTTTTCTACTTTGTTTTTTAATATTTTATTATTATATTTGATTACACTTTATTTTTTTAATTTATTATAAACATATATTACTTTTTTTTTAAAGCAAATATATTAAAAGAGTACAAGTGGAAATTTGAACAAGACAACTGGAGCGTGGAAATAAATGGTGGATGACCCACTGAATCTTAAACGAAGCTCTGATACCATATTAAGATGTGATTGGACCTAATTCAACCCTACAAAACCGATTTGTAGAGTGAGGATTACCCCACTTATAAACACATGTTCATGCCATATATTGTTCGATGTGAGACTCTTAACAAACTCAACATCACCGTATATAATAACTATTTATGCACCTAAACCACCTTCTTAAAATTCATTTACATATTTTAATTTAAAACATGTTAATTTCGTATCCCTCTTCAGTAATTTTGAAGCTGGAAAATCACATAATTTTTTATCAATCATCATGCTCATTGGATATTAATCAAATGGATTAAATAATATCACATGACTAAACTTTAATAAAAAAAATTTAATATAATAAAAATTCAGATTTACATGATCTGATTTAATCCACTTGATTGATATCCAATAAATATAATTAGCGCAAAATCATATAATTTACCCAGCTCAAAATTACTGAAGCGGAACTCATTAGTTATTTAAGTTAATATCTTTTTTTGGGTATCAAATTCTAATCTTTTAACTCCTTCATTTCTAAAGTTTATGCAGAGCTAGTAACTAAATTGTTATTCAGAAACTTGATTATACTTTTCTGATTTATAAACTTTTAATTTTTATTTATGTTTAATTTCCTCTATTTTTAAAGTTAATAAAATATGGTCTTATATTTTTTTTAGACTTAAAATAAAATAATATTTATCATTTAAAATTAATATAATACATCAATAAAAAAAATATCAATTTTGCTTAAAGCAATTAGAATTAAACATCGAACAAATTTACAACACTCAAATTAATACAGTAAATAATACACATACACGAGAATGTCTATAAATATGAAAAATTAAAGTGCATGAAATATCTATATTTTTATATTTGCAATGTCAAAGACGTTAAAGTCATTAAATATCTCCAAAACATTTTAAAATTTTAAAAAACTTAAAAAAAAAATTATTTATTTAACTAAGATTATCACATCTTTCCTCTTCCTTTGGTCTTTTTTTTTTATCTTATAAAAGTGATATAATTGTTGAAATTCAACGTATCTGAATTAGACGCAAATTACTTTTTATACTAAATAAATTCGTAAATAGAATAGATCTAATCACAACCTGTGATCCGTCATACCGACTTACGAACCACCTTTATATTTCGTCGTATGATCACTGTCAATATTGTTATTGGAATCCAACCATTGTTCGCCGAAGCTCCAACGCCACCGTTGTAGACCGCAGGCCTGCCATGACAACTTTGGCGCCTCCGGTGACTTCTCTACTACTTTAAACGATTTTATTTTAATTTCTAACTGTATCAAAACAAATTTTCTTTCTCTTCGTGTTTATGATTTTTACCATATTTCAACCATTAATTCACCTTAAGAAAATATAACCTTTAAATTAATATGAGTAGTGGAGAATTATGTGATGGATTTGTATACTCATGGGTGAAGGGAAAACATAGAAAGTGGTTGGTTGAAAAAGGGCCCTTGGGCACTTCAAAGTGGGAGATGTAAGAAAACCTTTTCTCATGCTTGGAGGGGCCCTGTGTTTTTTTTTCAAGGTAGAAAATATTAGTGTCATTGTGAGGCAAACCCCTTGTCCATTTCATGAGCCCAACACCATAGATTTATTTTGCTGAGACTAGTCTTCATTGATTGTGACTATAAGGTCAGGCGCTTAATTAAGATTGAGAGTGATGTACCTTAGAGATCCTATAGTATGGCGTATATATCATTTTATAATTATTTAATCATTATTAACATTGATATCGTAGCATTTTGGTGGAATGTTTACCCACACCACCAGCCACCTAGTCCCTTATGCTTATAAAGTGAGGTATGTCATGTTTTGTAGGATTGAAATTAAGCTAATTAATTCCATGTTTTACTAATCAGATTTTCAGTTTGTAAGATTGAGTAAAATACAACCTGAATTTTTAGGATTTCTTATAAAGATTTAAAATGTTAAAATTAGGACATATTTATTAAGATATTAAAAGTTCTTTAAATTTATTTTTTATAAATTAAAAATCTAATTTTAACAACATATAACATAAATATATATTATTGAATATTAAAATATATCAAGCTTCAGTAGAGACTGCCTCATACGTTTTTGTGTTTTTTAAGGCCGAATCTTCTGTGTTACATGATCATATATTGAGAAACAATAAAGTATATTATTGAGCAAGTGACTTTAAGTACAATAAGAAGATGAATTGTGGTATTTAAAATTTGTGATTAATTTTAAATCTAACTCGATTAATATCGTATTAGTAATTTCTAGGTGAGTAATTTGTAGCGAAAAATAAAATACTGAAAGTAAATCGCAGAAAATAAAAAGATAAGGTTAGAAAGATTGTACTAAAAATTTATACACGTTTGGCCGAACGTTGGCCTAGTCATGTTCCCAATTGATCTTATTGAGAGTTTGACTATAAACTGTAAGCTTTTGAAGATTATGCCCACGAACCTTAGTATAATTTGGTCTTGAGATTTTAACTGATTTATCTCCGACCAATGATAGCTTTTAACCAAGGCTAAGCTAATGAATCATTTAGAGATTTATGGCTGATCTCAATAACCAAAACAAAGCTTTTTTTTTGGCAAAGTTCAATAAACCAAGAACAAAGATTTTATGACAGATTTATCTCAAGAACCAAACTCAATCTCTTAAGACTATAGCACCCTTAAGAATATAAACGACTAACACGACCACCTACAAAAATTTCTTCCTCATAAATAAAGCTTCACTTACTAGCATTGAGGCAATATGAAGTGAAAAAAAATATTTTCTAAAGAGGGAGAGAGAGATAAATTCTAAAGAAATATCAAAATATTGAGAAGTGGTGTGGTTTGAAGTGAGGGCGTGCCGCTCTTATATGGTAGTTGGAAAAACCAAAAAAGTAATGATGCATGAGCCGAATTGATTATCTAATAGATTGGAAAAACTCTTCAATCGATTAGATTAACGTTCTAATGGATTAGAATAACGTTATGATTGATTAGGAAACACATTTTTAATCGATTAGTAGACTCAAAAAGAAAATATTGGATACATAGTCGTTGTAGTTAATTATTGTGTTGTCTTCATCGCTTGGTTAAAAAACTGATGAATTTTGTTTGCTTGGAATTTAGAAGTTTACATCATGATTCAAGAGAAGATTACAAGCATGCCATATTTCAAATTTCACTGAATTTTACTTGATTCATCACCATTCATCAAGTTTCATTAATACAAAGTTCAAATAAGTTTCCTTGAATATCTCAACAAAAATTCACTCTTCATTCTTAAGAGCAGGTATAAGATACAATTCGTATTTGTATTACAAGACAAAAAATTATATAACAAAAACATTGTCCTAGACCTAGTATTCTATCTTCAAGCTCTAAACCTGATGCCTCAATAAAAAGGAAAATGACTCAAAACCCTACAGCATAACAATAACCAAAAATAGTATTAGTTCATACAATTCTGTCCAAAATTGCCATTATTTCTGCTTATGCCATGTTGAACTAAAACAACTCCAAGGTGGTTGTAGTCTTGTCCAAAATATCTTCTCAAAATCAGCCCTGCATTAAGTATTATGATAGCAGAAAATTCAGAAAAAATATTATATCTAAAGAAAGTTGGGAAAAGTTTTAAGCCAGCTCATCAAAGCAGAAGCAAAAGGCAATGAGAAAAACTGAGTAAAATATTGTTGCCTTGTTTCACGCAGAAAATGCATGGGAAATAACTCAAAAAAATAAAAATGATACAGCTCAGCATATTTTAAACTTCTCTAACAAGCTTCATAACAGAATTTGGGATGAGAAATGATATTCAATCTCAATCGTTCATTTGTTATAACAGATTTTTGAAATCAAGGGACATGATTGAGTTACCTGTAGCAAACTCTTGAGGAGAGGATTCATTGCTGCAAAGACTTCTCAGAGAAGTTTCAGAGTTCTCTCTGAAATTCTCTGAGACTTCAATGAGGGATTCTCCATAAATCGAATAGCAATTCCATATAACACTGCAGTAAAAAAATGAGAGAAATTTGTGGAAGAGATTTGAAGAAGATGAATTACCAATTAAACGTGAATTCAAAGGGAGAAAGTGAGATATTTGTACCTATGTTCCCGCAGAAAGTGATATCTGATTTGCTCATCATTCATCAATTTAAAGAACCAATTGGAGCTGCTCCGATAGAATCTCTGAACATAATTTTCACCTTCACTTTTCAACTACTTCAGTTCCTAAACCATGCTTCAACAACACCTCTCATCACTACGTCGTCTTCATTCTTCTCTGTAACAACATTATATCATTATTTGATCAATGCCTTAGCTGCAACAATTTATGCAGAATGCATCAAAATGCATCGCAATCGAAGAAATTCAGAAACGCAAAATAATATAGCGAGTAATGGAAAGAGATGAAGAAGAATTAAAGGAAAAATTCATTCACCTCTGGTTTTCCTGTTCTCTTACATTGAAGGTGCACCAGACGATTCTCCGGTTGGTAAGACTTGCATCCTATTTTGTTCTTCGTTTTGCACATCTTATTTTCCTGGCGTTGAATCTGTTTTTACGAAACTGAAAACCTCGATGATTAGAAATCGAAACTACGACACTGAGCGAAGGCGAAGTCGAAGAGCATTGAGCGAGCATCGATTGAATTGAGCGAATCATAGATGAGCATCGAAAGAAGACGAACAAATTGAGATGATGAACGGAGTTTGTTGCAGCAGCGGGAGCGTGAAATAGGAGATGTTGACGGAAACACCGAGTTTGAATTGAAGATGACGAAGCCGCGAAGGAGTTGAGGTGCTGTGAAGAAGATGACGAGGCCGCGATGGATAAGATATTGAGACGGCGGTAGATCACCAATGTACACCGGAGAAGACGCGCTGCCGATTTAGTTTGAAGAAGAAGTGTGTTCGAAGGAGGTCAAATGACAACTCCTTAACCCTAGCGTTCTTCTCTTAAAACGACATCATTTTTTTAAATTTAATTTGTTTATTTTATTTCTTTTATTTAGGAAATTGAAAACAAAAAATCTGAATTAGACTGAATTAATTGGGCCTCGTTTTTGGAACCTCCATTAAGCCCATACTGCCATCAATTTCTGGAGCTTGCTACCAAAAATAAAAAACTATTGTTGGAACATTCAGCATGGGCCTAGCGCCCCATTTATTTACAGCACACCTGAGCGAAGCTTTATACCTCCCTCTATTTCTTATTCTTTTATGTTTTTTTTTAATTTTCTTTTATTGTTTTTTTTTAGATATTAAGATAATAAAAAAATAATAAAAATAATAAAAAGAGATATAAAAAAAAAATACTTTAGGCTTTTATAAGTATTTTAGGATTTAATTAGATTTTATTTCTATTATTTCTTCATACTTTTAATTTCTTTTAAATCAAGTTTACACATCATGTTTTATGTGTTTTCTTTGTGTAATATTGATCAAATAAGATGCTTGAGAATTGAGGATTATCTTGCGTTGAAATGACATGCTCCTTTAGGATTCCATGAGACGATTAATCTCCCTTTTGATTGTTTTATGTTGATTAGACCTTAGGAGATTAATACAAGCACAAACATCACAATAGCTTTTGCCTTCTTGCTTTGGGATATTCCCTTCATCTCCTCCTATTTCAAAAATCTTCTCCCTCCTTTTGAAAGCACTTCTTGTTTCTAAACTTGAACCACTTTTATAATAAACTTGGACTTAGGTCCATGCATTTTCAAAATGTTTTCATAAATAAACTTCAATCGACTTAACAATACCTTGACATTTTTGTGAGAAGACTAAAAGTAAATCAATCTCATTCAAACAAATTTTCCATTTTGGCTCTTATCATTAAAATTTTCTCAAAAAATTAGACTCTTGTCAATCCTTGTAGTGATGCAAACAACTATACTTCTATAATATATAGTGAAGAGAGATATTTTCCACTTGGGTGTTGAGTGAGGCATTGGTGATTTTAAAATCCAAGCCATATCCTCTACTTTGAGATGATGCAAATTCTCCTTTTTCATGATTGTGGGTAGTAAGTATGTTTTCCACACGGACAATGACGATGATGTCTTATCTCATAAAATCAACCAACACACTTGTGTTTTAAAATTTTAAAAGAAGAAATACAAGTGTTATAATTCCTCCTGGGATACGTAGGCACTGGATTGAAGATCTGGGTGAATGCAATAATAAAAAACTTTCTTTTTCCCAAATTGATTCATTCATGCAAATAGCTCTTTTTAATAGCCAACATACACAGATTTACAAAGAGGTTCATGCGGAGTACCATAGATGTTTAGGGTGTCAATACCTTCCCTTTGCATAACCAATTCCCTTACCTTGAATCTTTTCCCCTCTTTTTGGTTAGTCGCTCTTTTCCCACTCCTTTGGAAACAATAAAGCGCGGTGGCATTTTTTCATTTTGATCTGTATAAGTCTAGTCAATCCAATGGCTTAGTCTTAAACATTTCTACCACTAGATTGAGGTCTTCCGAATAATCAACTTCCGTGATGGACCAGGAGAATCTATTGCCAAGATTCAATTTGAGTTACCTTCTGCTGAGGTCTTCTGGATAATCAACTGTCGTGATCAACCAGGAGAATCTACTGCTGAGATTCATTGTAGAATTTGTAACTTGATTGATAGTGTTGATTGTCTTCATATGAAAATGAGGTTTTATGCTATGCGTGCAAATTTGGTTGATGCATGAAATGTGATGATTGATTGATGTATGTGATGGATGACTTGGATATATGTGAATGGATGTTGGATTTTGAAATGCGAAAGCGTAATTGAGATTTCTGGGATATGCTCGACCCATGTTGTCGAACTTCGTCAGATGGATGATATGATAAGTATAGCTTGTTTCTAGATTGATGAGCCCTAATGCATAATCTATATACTTTATGATTATGACTCGAATGGTTTTAGAATGGTTCCCCTGTGATGGGTCATGGATGATTAAAGCGTAGAGGTTTTCTTATGTAATAAGGTTTCTTGTCACATGGCGGTTGAATGTTATGCTATCATGATTTCCTGATACTCGATTTTAAGTTTGAAGATTGGTGATGTAGAAGAGAGACCCACTGGAGGTTGTGAAAGTGCACAAAGAGCTTTCCCCTGTGTGGACTATTTTTTTCTAGTTTGTTGATAGGGTTTTGAAGGAGGTTCTCAGTGATATGAGCTTGGAAGTACTTCGATTATAATGTGAATGACCCTACTATTTTTCATTATGCCCCTGATTAAAAGATTCTTGAAAATGTTTGGCTTTAAAGAACCAGTTTAAATTAACTCATTTTGATTGAGCCTCACAGTGGTTTTCCCCAACATTCGAATTTTGAAAAGATGTGCCCCTCACTCTCCACGATATGGAGGAAGCACCCTCAGAAAGAGCTTTAGACCTCAACATGAACTTATCATAGGTTGCCCCAGTATTTGCAGCTTGAAAAGTTTGTACTTGAAGTTGCTTGAAGGGGAATTTGGACCCTACGCAGTATAATGCACTTGATGTGCACTGCCCCAACATTTGAGTCTTGGATGGTTGCCCTCTAATTGTCAAGGACTTGAGAGGTTTGTTGAAATGAGGAAACCGAGTCATACCCTTTTTATGTTATGACTTGATTAAGGAATGCTCACCCTTTGTCAATAGTATCTTTGTGTGATATACCCCTACGATCATCAGTCTTTGCCCTTGTTTATTGGGATTTCTTTTAGATGCTTGGCCCCTAGTTAGAAGCTTCTTGGAAATGTTGCCTTTGATCAGACCCTTTTGAAATTTCCTTGATGCTAAGTATTGATTTTTAGATGAAATTATACATTTTGAAAAAGTAATTCCGTTTGATGCACATGCAAGTTTTGAAATCGAAGTTTGATTATTGAAAAGAAATGGATGATGAGAAATGGATATTCGAAGGATCAAAGTAGTTAAAAATAATTTTAACAAACGTAGGAGTCAGTTTAACACATATCTTACTGAGTATGCTTTCATAGTGAGCCTAGCCTCAATTAGGACTTTTAGAGGTTGTAACGTGGTCATGGTTCGTGGTTTTAAGAAACAAAAGATATAAGGCTCAAAATTTATTTAGCCCACCCTATTCTCCTTGATGTTCTCCATTCCTGAGTTTAATTAATCCAACTAATGCGTTTAATCCCCAAGAGAAATTTAGTAGTCACGTAGGTGATGAGATGCATATATAAAGATCCAAGCGCTGATAAAAAGTATTGATAAGATCTAAGTGTTGATGGGAAGCCTTGATGATTATTGAGTGGCAGTCACATGATTGTTTTCCAATTTATCATTTTCAATCCCTTATTTTTGCATGGACCGATTTTTTTGAAAAAAATTTTTTGAATTTTTTTTTGATCCATCGGGATGCCCTACCTTTTTCCTAAGTTAAGTTTTGCTTTCTTTTGACTTAGCGGGCTTTTCTTTCTGAATTTATTTTTTTTGCTTTTGGTTTTGAAATTTTGTGACTGCCATGCTGATTGTTGTAAGCTTCGTCTTTATCATTTCTTCGATATTGTCTGATGTGTTGAGGAAGAAAGACGTCGTAAACTTTATTTTTATTGATTCCTCAATCTTGGATGATGAACGCGGGAAAAATGACGTGCTCAAACCTTTGCTTAGATCATTCTCTCGATGATGTATTGAGGAAAGATATATGCTTGAACCTTTATTTAGATTATTCTTATTCTCCTGGGATTTGAATGCATCATCAAATTAATTGAAATCTCCCCCGCCCCTGGTTAAGATTAAGGTTTTTTTTAGAGAATTGAAAGAACTGCAACTTCTGGCTCGAGGGGGTTAACTACGGATTAACTCATTATATCTCCATTGTTTAGGAATTGAAAAAATGCCTTACATTGTTAGCTAAGCCTTACTATTAGAAAGCATACATCAGCAAAATTCGATTATTTTGTATTTTCATTATCCTCCATTGAAGTTTGTTAATTTGAAGAATGGAAAAGAAGATTTGGAAATGAAAAGTCGTTAATTATTCGTGAAATGAATCGATTCCAAAAACATGCATGCTTATTTTAATAGAATTACTTAACCAAAGAGTACAAAGTTTATAACAAATAACACTTAGCAAGAAAGAAATTACAATTTGAAATGATAAAGCCTAATTATTTTGGAGATGAGCTTCTGCAGTGATTGACCAATCAAGGCGAGGGGTTTTCCGTCATATGCGGGCCATTTTCTTCAAAAGTTAATTGCTTGTTGTCAATCAGCTCTTGTACCACTTCTTTGAATAAGTTGCATTCTTCAATCGAATGCCCTGCTACTCCGCCATGAAACTCACATTGAACATATGAGTTGTACCATGGAGGAAATGAAGACTTCATGAATCTGGTTCTTCTAGGGATCAATGATGAATTTTGGACCAGATATGACCATAATTGATTGTATGTCACGGGGATCGGGCCAAACTGGCGAGTTTCCCTTTCTTGGCTGTTCGGACGCCTATGCTAATTTGAGCGTTGATGGTGATGGTTTCGATTCCGAACCGGTTGATTCTGATGTCGATGTTAAGATGAAATCTTAGCTTGCTGGTTCTGTGGTATAGGCCATGGTTGCTGGTGTTGAAGACCAGAGGGTGGTTGTTGGTATTGAGCATCTACTGCATATGAATATTGATGATAAGGCACAGGAGACGAAGTTTCTGGAGCTTGGTAAGTTCCCCAAATAGAATTCGTTTCATTTCCTTCTTCTTCTTAGAAATCTCTAAGGGATTCAGTAGTTGAGCTACTCAAGACACTTTAGATTTTTCCGATTTTGATGTCGTTCTCGATATGTTCCCCAACTATTACTAGGTCAGAAAAGTGTGATGGTATACTACCTAACATTTTCTCATAGTGCATACCTTGTAGGGTGCTCATAAACACGTCTACCAACTCCTTATCCAATAATGGCATTTGAACTCGAGCAGCCAAATCTCTCCATCTCTGCGCGTATTCTTTAAAAGATCTGTTACCCCTATGATATAAATCTTAAAATTGCATGCAACTTGGAGCCATGTCAATATTGTATTGATAATTTCTCTGAAATTCCAAAACCAAGCCTTTCCAGGTGGGGACGTGATTTCTTTCCAATTGTGTATACCATTCTATAATGATGCTCCACTAAGACTGTCTTGAAAATAGTGAATAAGCAATTTGTCGTCATGTGGGTATGTTTCCATCTTCCCAAAATACATCTTCAAATGGGTCTTAGGGCAACTAGACCCTTTGTACTTTTCGAAATCTGGAATCTTAAACTTCGGAGGAAATACCACGTATTCAACCAAACATAAAGCAGAAACATCAAAGTTATGAGTGTCCTGTCCTTCTATGGCGCTAAGCCTTTTCTCCAACATGAGGTATCTTTTGATGTCCTCAAGATTTTAGGATTATTTAATATTCATGATTAGGTCTGTCTCTTGAGATTTTGGCGTAGGGAATTCAAATTGATGATACTCAATGGCTTCGTGGGATGGGGTATACCCATCTTGGAAAATGGTGTGTTCTTGTACATCAAGGTTCTTAACTGAAGCTTGTATATGTCGTGGTTGAGCGTGAGTGTTTTCTTGAGGTGTAATGATGTCTTCACTTGTGGCTTGTTGACCTCCTTCCATTGTTGTAGCTAACTTTACACTTGTTGTGTGAGTTATCTCGAGTTCGTTCTGAGTATCTGGGAATCACCTTGTTGGACTATGGTTGGAAGTTTTCTGTGAGAAGAAGAGATATGAGTTTTATGCAGATGGATGAAGAATGAAAATGTATGAAAATGCTTGGGTATGAAAAAGTATAAACAATTCATGGATATGTAATACAATGTAGACGTAGAATGATGATAGATGTAGGGGTACCCTATATAGGTTTGATGATGATATCCTACTCTGACTCAGAGATTGAGACGGGAAGGGACTCGTTACAGATGAAGATGATAATTGATGATATCCTACATTGTCTTAGAAATGGAGACAAAAGTTCTTTAAGGGTTATTACAAATGAAAGATGACGAGGAGTCATTACAGGATAGGGATGATGATATACATGGAAACCCTGTGGGCTAAAGATAGTAGTGGATGAAGGGATAACCCTTGTAATTTTGCATATTGTAGTTGAATTTTTGAAAGGTATCCTTAGAAGGTAGGTTCTTAGCATTTGCCTGCAGATATTCTACCCTTTCCATAAGGTGGCTTCCTTAAGGGTATCATGAATGACGCTAGAGGGAAATGCACAAGGGCCTCCCTTAGCGGAGTCTCTTTACAAACTGAAACTTCCATCTCTAGGTCATGAAAGATCTCATCACGAGTTTTTAGTTTAAAGGTCGTACAAAGAGTCATAGGTGTCATTCCAAAGTCCTACTTCCCAAGATGATGTCTCTCGAGAGGTATTCCTTTTGCAGAATTCCACCGACTCTAGGAGAAGTCGTCACATAAACTCATAGGGTTGATATAACCCCTTGGCTAATAGATGAACCTTATTTCTAAGGGTTTTTGAAAATAATAATGCAAAATTTAAAACCCATCGCAAATAAATAAATAAATATAATGAATTAAAAAATAAGCAGAAAATAAATAAATAATTAAATGAGGAAGAAAATAAAAATCCAAAAACAATAAAACCCAAAAACCTAAAGGAAATACTTATAAACCTAGGATTGAGTCCCCAATAGAGTCGCTAGCTATTGCAACTGGTTTTTAAATCAGAGTCGCCACCCTTAATTTTTATCCTAAAGGAAGGGAGTGTTGGATTAAAATATCCAGCGTCAACCTTAGGGTTTGAAATGGCGTAACATCTCACCCATGAGCACTTAGTAAACTAGGTGCAGCCTCTGAAAATGCTCGTAATATATGGAAATAAAGTTGCACCTTGGCTACAAGCAATTGCTTTTAGCACAGTGGTAAGCGCTTGATCCTTCAAGTGGTATCAAAGCATGGTCATGAGTTCGAATCCCCCCGACTGACAATGGGGGGAGGGGAGATTGTTGAATTAAAATATCCAGCGTCAACTTTAGGGGTTCGAAGGGCTTAACATCCCACCCATGAGCGCTTAGTAAACTAGGTGCAGCCTCTGAAAATGCTCGTACTATATGGAAATAAAGTTGCCCCTTGGCTACAAGCAATTGCTTTTAGCGCAGTGGTAAGCGCTTAATCCTTCAGGGAGTATAAAGGAATAACCCTAAAAGTCAGAGATTCTAGATTTGGACTCGGTTCTAGACAAGGGGAAGGTGTTAGGAACCCCTTATATATCTTATTCACAAGGGTACTAGGTTTAGAAGTGCGTTCTTAGGAAATAGGATTTTTATTTATTATTGGGGTAAAAGGGTTTGAATTTTAGTTAGAGGGAATCGCCACGATTTTAATCGTAAGCCTTCGTATCCTCTTAGGAGAAATCACATTTCGTAATTCACGGTTGGTTGGTGTTTTTTATAAGATCGCGTAGAATTGCTTTCGAATTAACCTTGAACCTTGTCTGGGTTGAAAATTGTGTGATGGTAGACGCAATTCGCGGTTAATTTCGGAAGAAATTCTCCTTAATCCTTTTTAAAAATAATCTTGAGTTTTTCCTATGTAAGTAAAAAATGATTTGAGATTGGTTAGCTGTTTTGAGTGTAGAGCGGAGGAGTTTGATATAGTCTCCTCGTCACGTGACCAGATATTGACCATGTGTCGCTCTCAGATGGTGAATTTGGTGAGTTCTATGGACTTTAATTATTTGAGTTTTTGAATAATAAATCGGTAGACGATGTGTCGACTAATTTAATGATTCAAAGATAGACATCCTATTATTTAGAAAATGTTTGAATTAATTTAATTACAAGAAAAGCATAATTTATGTATTTGCTCAGAATTAGTGATTTAAATATTTTTTCTTAGTATTTTTAATGAAATATTTATAAGACTAAAATTAATCTAATAAAACTAATGTACTTAAACACTAAACTAAGGCTAATATGAAAAGAAATATTTCTTAATGTTCTTTATACTGGACATTTATAAACAAATTAGATATATTAGCTTAATAATTTAATTAAGTATAAAAGAATATGAGTGTAAAAACAAATTTAAGTGGGCTTTAAAGAAAGTAGTGTCATGGTCCAACGTCACTAACCTTAATCAAAAACCTAATAAAAATTGAAAGTAAAATAAATTAGAACAATAATAGCACCCAGCGGTGCCTTGTTTTACGAAGGAGTTTTGGGTTTTCAATTTAATGCCCGAGCCAATAAGGGAGAGACACGTGGAAAACATGGTGAAAAAAAAAAGAAGTTGATCACGTGAATTATTCCAGTATTATCTTTCTCTCTCTCTCCTTATCCTTTCAAAACAAAAAAACACAACAAAACAATCTCTCTTCTACATCTTTTTACAAAGCAAAAACACAATAACAAAATGTCACATGTTAAATGGGAAACGGACAAATGCAAGCACCTGGTTAAAAGGAAAAGGGTGGTTGACAGAAGTGTTGCGGAGGAGCGGCACTTTTTGCGTCGAAATGGGGTGACAACGGAATTGCGACCGAAAGCTAGGCGTGGTGTGGTGGTGGCCTTCAACGGTGTGGCTCCTTGAGGTGGTCACGCAGCCATGGGTGAGCAGTCAGAGCTTTCATTTTCCAGCATAGTGATTGGATGCATGGTTCTGCATTGTTAGTGGCTTTGCATCTTTGTCGGAGGCTTACGGTTCACAGGGTTGAGTGTACCGCGGCTCGGTGTCTGCGAACGACGGAGGAGCTTGCAGATCTGTCAGAGGAAGACGATTGGTTGTCTTTTTTTCAGTGGTTTTTTCTCTCTTAACTGTACTGTGACCTCCCTTTCTGTTTGTTCTTTCTTTTTCATAAAGCAATTTGGGGTTTATCCAATTAGGAAATTAATCAATGCGCTCGTAATATTGATTACGTAATAATTTGTATTGAATTAGTTGCTTAATGCCATTTTTTTTTCTAGCAATTGATTCGTTTCCATATTTATCACGATTCTGGCTGAAATCTCAAGTCTTCAATATGTAAGCTTAAATTAAGTAAATATTTTATTTATCTCATAACTTTGTATATGATATATTTATTTCGCATTCTTTATTCCATAGGAGACAACCTGTGTGACCGTTGCGACATTGAACAAATTTGAGGCTGGTCAGGCGGGGTGGTATTACGATGGTTGTGGTGTCTGTACTAAAAGTGTGTCTCTGAAGAAAGGAAATTTGAAGTGTTATGCGAATCATATAACGACAGAAACCGTACCGAGGTGTGAGTTAAAACATTATGTTCTGTACCTGTTTGAATAATGTAGTCCATTGTTGTTCACTATGTAATATTGTTTAATTACCTACTTTAATTCTTATAGATACAAACTTGAGATTATGGGAATTGATGGGAAATTCAAGGCCCGATTCATCTTTTGGGACAACGACTGTGTGAAATTAATCGGAAAGTCTGCTTTGCAAATTAATACTGAATTGATAGAGGTATTATTCATTTGAATCATTTCTCCAACCGTGGATTTTAGTTACAATTTGACGTTGTCCATTACATGTTGCACTTTTATTATTTTAGTTATAATTTTATCATTTCTCCAACTGTTAATCAATTTTAGCTATTAATTTTATATTTCCTTTGGATAAATTAATTTAGGAAGGTGAAGACAATCCTTGGGAATTCCCATATGAACTTGATGCTTTATTGAAAAAGGAATTAGCTATTAGAGCTGTTTTTCAGCCAAAGTTTGGAAGACTCTCAGTTATTGGGTTCAAAGACGATGAAGAAACACGTAAGAAAATACGGGACAATTTCAAATCTGAAGAGGTATGTTTTGTTTGAAGACTAAATTAATTATGCCGCTGAAACAACTTTGGTATAATAAATCGTTTTTCTGATTCAATTATGTCTTGACAGGTAGCATCGAAGCTTGGCGTATCGGAGCCTTCCTCGCAAGAGGATTTGAGGATTTTTTCTGTAAGTATATACTTTTGTCTTTGATTACATTAAGTACAACATTGCTTGCTGCATATTATCATTAATCAATGTTTCTTAAAATATTGCAGGAACCATTTGAAGGAAAATTGCGATCAAAATGCAGCGGAATATAAAATTTTCCTTTAGAGATCCTTACGAATGAGCATGGTCAGTGATAGAAAGTTTTACCTCTTGTGACGATTCAGACTTTTGATGTCGTGATCACGAGCGTTGATGAAGAACAACGCCTCTACTCAGTCCACACGAACAGATCGCTTCCGGTCATAGTGCTAGCTGATCACGAACGGAAACCTTGAGTGAGAGAGAGAGAGTCAAAAACGAAAATGCATCAAGTGAAAAAACTTCATCACAAGGGATCTATTTATAGAATCACTCGTATGGGCTACAAGCTAAAAGCCCAATTAAGGCTATAAGCTAAAAGCCCAATTAAGCTTATGGACATCATACCTTATGATGTACCATATATCACTTATCCACGTGGTACCTTACCACTTTCCGTATTACACTTAAGTGCACCGTACCTTACGGTGTTCCTTATTTATTCTATCTCTCATCAACCTGTCCTTATGTGTGTGACCCTGTAGGTTTTCGCGACGTTGGCAATTATATTAAATTACATTTAATATAATAAACAGTGAGCGGTATCTAGCAACACATCACTGTTACCCAAGTCACGAAAATGTCATGTGATCTGACCAAACCTTTTCCGTGATAATATTTGTGTTGTACAATTACCCTTTTGCCCTCATGTCTATATTGAACACAAGGCATACACTGTGTCACCCTTGTCCAGTTCAATATTGGGCCCTTAGACATTTATCCTGTTATGCAGGATGAGCAAATTCCATCTAGGTCACTCATGTCCCTTAGCATGCTTTGTGAAGTACCCATCAACCATCTTTATAGTCATCCAGTTACGGATGACGTTTGATCAACAATAAAGTACTTGACTCTACATCTAGGGTCCATAGTGGTTTCAGGTCGAAGGGTGGTATACATCATTATCATCATGAGAATAACTTATGACACTTTGCATAACATTCTATGTAGTATTCTCATAACGGGTCAATCCAGTATAAATATTACTCCTAATATTCATACCTATGTCAAGACTTGATAACTCCTTATCTATGATCCATGAGATGTGATCATCAATCTATCTTCATAATAATCTTAATGCTTTAATGTTATCCCACTTCACATTAAAGCTTGACTACGGATACTTTAAGAATAGTTTCTTATGTTTAATGGGATCTCATGATTAAGTCACACTTAACATTTCATTAAACCAATAAACCATTCTAGAGACTTTATTATTTTGGAAAACATAATAAAGAAATGCCTTTTATTATTAATAAATAATTCGATACAAGTACCAAAAGTATTGGCCTCTAGGGCTTACACCAACACCATTGTCCACATCTGCAGATTATGATCCTTCTGTTGCGAATTCGGGGCTGACACCGTCGAAGAGAAGAATAACCGATGTAGCAAAAGATGTTGAAAGTGTTCAACTTTCCTCAACAAAGATGACAAAACCAATCAAGGAGGAAAAATTGATATAAAGATGGAACACAAACTGCTGTTTATTAAGCTTTAGTTTATCATGGAAACAACTTAATTTTATTATGCTAAGTATTAGTTTTGGTTTATTTTATGTTTTAAAACAATTGCATTATTTCCTATTACTTTCGTTGTTTGGGTACAATAGAAACATGTTCATGTAAACATGCTTTCGCATAATTGTTTGAGCTTTGTGTCTTTCTTTTAATATATCATTCCTACTATCATTTAGTTTCATCCACATTAAATGTTTCTGAAATTTTGCAACATTTCCACCAATGCTGCACTTCCCGAGCCAGCACTGCTCAAAGCCTACGCCTATTAAAAAGTTTTCCATTTCTTGCCTTAGAAATGCTCCATATACAGGCAAACCATACCACTTCTATTCGATGCGAGTAGACTCTGGCTACCAGTCCAACAAACTGGTCCAAATGTCTTGCACTGTCATTTTTTAAATATTCACCACACCAACCAAAATTAACACTCATTGGCATACAATATTAAAAGTAGAAAATTTGAATGTTGGACAAAACCATTATCTCAGCTTGAAATTCAGGAAGTCCTTAACCTGATCCTGGCTCACTTCTTTTCACTGCCACATTCATTCCATTCCTGAGAAACCCTTTATAAACAACTCCAAAACCACCCTTTCCAATTATCCACTTCGCATCAAAATTAAAGATCAAGCAAGGAGATTTTAAATCCAAGATTTTAAAACCACCCTTTAATTCGAGTCTGTGTGAGGCTTTTAGTTGAATCATGTGTGAGGCTTAAGCTTAGCATGTTCCACATAACCTCCACATCTTTGTAACCGCACATTTCCGCTTCATCTCGAAGATTCAACAACCCGCCAATGGCTCCGCCCATTTTATCTCGAAGATTCAACAACCCGCCAACTGACAAAATTGTAACCGCACATTTCCAATATCAGTTAAAATGATACGTTTAATTTGATTTTGGAGTGAGATAAAATCAATATGGTATGGCTATATCAAAAAACGTTTCAAGCCTATCAAATGCATGCTTGAGTAGTTACTATTCATGATGCACTTCATTTTCGGTTTCCAAAGTGAAACTATAATGATTTTTTCTGACCATTGCTTTTCTTTTCAATTCAAGATTAATTGGCAGAATGCTTAGAATCTGGAAAGTTACCTTTTCTTATTGGTACTTGATTGTCCATAATTATAACATTTTTAATTAAATTTTGAAATAACACTTAACACTATTTAACGTTATTATTATTATTAATAATTAAAATGGTTCACAAAAATAATCACTTGGTATTCTGTTGACTTCAGTATTTTACTTCAAAATCTTGGAACCGTGAATGTTGTATTAACAATTATATTTATTATCATATAACCAAAAACTTTATTCATTTTATGTCTACAATCATTTTATGTGGTTAACAAAAAAAAATTGAATGACAACCATACAATCAAAGTGATTTTCTACCCATTCATTTTTGCATCACCTAACCAACACTATGGAACCACAAGTTGCAGCAATGGCAAGACGTAAAAGGAAGCAGATTCTTAAAGATAAAAGATTGAAAAAAGGAAGAACTGATGAAAACACAATCAATCCCATTGAAAACTCTCAAAGGTATTATGTTCCAACCATGGTTAATATCAGAACACCACTATTTGATTTAACTTCATCAATCTTTAATGAAAGAAATATGAGTTCACCTTCACCAGCATCTGCATCAAGCAACTCAAGTACAATGAAGATTTTCAATATTGTTTCTACAAATCAACTGGCTGCTTCAGCACGACAGCGGAGGAAAAGTATTATGGAAGGTAAGATGCCCCAATCTTACAAACTTCATAACAACCTTAGCAATAACAGTGGGGGTCCTTTCAGGATAAATTCTCCATCCTTTTCGCATTTCAAAACACCATTTTTGGATATAGCTTCCTCATGTTCTAACCAAAGAAACATAAAACCTCATGCACCGCCAAGTTATTCTATTCAAAAATCAAAAAAACAGTTGACTGTTACACCTCTTTCTGATATAACTTCCTCATTTTCTAATCAAAGAAATATGGAACCTCATGAACATCCAAGTAGTTATGTTCATAAATCAAAAAAACAGTTGAATGTAGGTGTTATTCAATCCATGATGGTCAAACTCTTCAATTATTTTGGAAATGAGAATCATAATCTGGATTTTTCATCCACAAGCAATATTCCTATACAAGAACCCACAACATTCACTTCAACTCCAGATGTTAACATTGAGAGTGATTACTCTGGTGATGAGACGGTAACAGATGATTCTCTCAGTGATAGCTCATGTGAATTCAATGCCGCAGATGCAAATTATGACTCAAGTTCCAGCTATGATGACGAAGATGTCTATGACTCCAATTCTACATCATTTGATTCTTTAAATATTGGTATTTATCATTAAAACCAACTTTATTTCTTCTTTAAATTCATTATACATATCAATTTGACGTTGTCCATTATATGTTTCACTTTGATACCTGCTATGATTTAATGTGGATTTTAGTTATAATTTTATTATTTAATATGAACGATTTTAGTTATAATTTTATTATTTAATATAAACCAATTGCTCAACTACGTTTCATTTAAATAGGTTATTCTGATATTGGTGATCCTATAGTTGAATGCACACAATGTGGGGCACTTATGTGGTATCAAGAAAAAACTGACAAGCGAAAACATAGTGCAGTTCCTAAGTTTCAACTATGTTGTGGAAAGGGGAAAGTTGTGTTGCCACTTCTGAAAACACCACCACTATTACTACAACGTCTTTTGTTTGATAATAGTGAGATAGACAGTCGAAATTATCAACAATTTTGTAGAATGTACAACATGATGTTTGCTTTTACGTCTCCGAGAATGAAATTCGACAACAGATTTTTAGCTGGAAGTGGACCACCTAACATAAGAATTCATGGACAGACTTGCCATCAAATTGGGAGCATGTTACCTTTAACTGGACAATCTCCAAAATTTGCTCAACTGTATGTTTACGACACCGACAATGAGATTCAACATAGAATTAAAGGAATTGGGTAATTTTACCAAACTTTGTTTTCTTTACAACATATTAAATATTTTTCATTGCTGCATCATAGTATTTCCTTTTATATGCAGGAACAACCCCAATATTATTCCAGAAACAATTAGTAGATTGAAGGACATGTTAGATGAGTTCAACACACATGCCAAATCTTTTAGGATGGCAGTAGATAGATTAAAGGATTGTCCTTTTCCTGATCTCAAGCTTAAGCTAATATCTGATAGATCAATAGATGGAAGGATTTATAACCAACCTATTGTTTCAGAGGTAGCCGCCCTAATAGTTGGGGATGTTGATACGGGTTCTAAGAGGGATATTCTTCTTGAAAGAAAGAGCGGAAGGCTAAGAAGAATAAGTGAGTTTCATTCAAGTTATCTGGCATATCAATATCCACTTTTGTTTCCTTATGGGGAAGATGGTTTTAGACTTGGAGTTCTTCTTAGAGAAACTAATACCAAAAAAAAAATGAAGAGGAATAAGCTTACCATT